ATAATTTAAACATTTTTCTAGATATATTTTTGAATTAATTGGCATCAGTTTTATTAGGTTTAATTAACCTAATTCATAATTATAGCATTTAGTTCATTATGAGTTTTCTAGTGGATTAAGTGCTAGACTTTGTGTTTATGGTTCCCTTTAGTTAGGTAATAATATAGCACAGCAACTTAATGACTTACTTGAATTTAACTATACGGTAGATCTAGGTAAATATCTTGGGGTCCCTCTCCATCATAATTGTGTGACCAAAAATACTTATCAATTTATGATGGATAAAATGAAGCAGTGACTCTCTAGTTGGAAGGCTACTTCTATCTCTTTTGCAGGACGAACAACTCTAACAAAGCCTATGTTGAGTACCGTTCCTTTATATTGTATGCAAACAACTCATCTTCCTGTGAGTACTTGTGAGGAGATTGGTAAATATTCTCGTAGTTTTCTATGGGGTTCGACTGGGGAAAGAAAAAAGATTCATGTTGTTGCTTGGGATGAAATGTGTAAACCAAAAGGAAATGGTGGCCTTAGATTAAGACATACACAACTTCAAAACAAAGCCTTTATTATGAAAGTGAGATGGGGCCTTATACATAACAAGGAGGCTTTATAGGCTAGAGTCATCAGGAGTAACAACAAATGTGGGAAGGAGTTAATATCACAAGTAAATAGGACTCACAATGGATCTTAGTTCTAGAGAGGTTTGAGAAACAATTAGGAGAAAGTCCAAGTTAGGGTAGAATTCACGACTAACTATGTGAATGAGGTGGCTGTTAGATGGAAATTAGAGGAGCATGGTATGTTTAAAATTAGATCTACTTATGAGTTCTTGATAGATTATTATGCTTGCCTTGATCATTATGGACCAAGATTTGGAAACTTTAAGCGCCTTAGCACTGTAGATCTTTCCTTTGGCTCATGAGTCATGACTATATCTTTACTAATAAGTCTCATTTTGACCGTCATTTGAGCAATTAATCGTGGTGCAGTTGTTGCCCTGGGTAGGTTGAAGACACTTTGCATGTGATGAGACAGTGTCCTAAAGCTAGGGAAGTGTGGATGCAATTGATATGGCCTTCTCAAAGACAAGCTTTCTTTACTACAGACTTGCGTGATTGGTGTAAGATGAATCTTAAGATACAAGTGGAAGTTAACAATTCCAAGTGGTGTGATATGTTTGTTGTTCTATATGTTAGGCGATATGGGAGCGTAGAAATGAGAGAGTTTTTGAGGGTTGTAGATCGACATCAGTGAGTGTCATTGTACAAACTACTACTATCCTTAATTGCATGAAAGGGGCTAACCTTCATTTACAAAATACATCTATTTCTGGCATTCGTCCTATTATGTAGGAATATATGAATATTTTGGCCCTTGATGTGCTTTTTATTTATGTTGATGAGGCTTTTGAGGTTTCTACAAATGCTAAAGATTGTGGAGGACTAGTTAAGGATACTAAAGGAAATACTATTGAAGCTTTCAAGCTCCAATTAGAGAAGGGTGATAATTAATCTAACAGCGAAACTATGGGCATGCCATATGGGACTTAAGCATGCTTGGGATATTAAAACCAAGCATGTAAGACTCCATAGTGACTGTCGTGAAACATTATCTCTGTTAAGAGCCACTAATCACAATCTTTATGAGGATTGAGAGATTATTACAGAGATTTAACAATTACTTCAAAGAGACTGGTAGGTTGATATGATTTGCATTGGAAGGGAGTTCAACACAGAAGCTGATTCCTTAGCAAAACGAGCCTCATCTCTCCCCATGGGTCTTCACATAGTGGCTGGTGATTCTATTCCTTCATTCATGGAGGACTTTTAGTTTTGTATTTGCTATTCTATTTTGTTGTTTTCATTTATATTAAAAAAATTTACCGATTATACTCTTTTATCATTTCCCTTTAAATGGAGCTAGGAAAGTTAACTTCATGTGCAGTTTTAAGTTGTTCCCTTTACCACATTTGAATCAAACTTTTCTTAATTTTTGGTTAATTAATCATCTTTGTTACTTAATTAATTTTATTGAACCAAACCTGCCCAATTATATTTTAAAACTCATGCATTGCATAATAACATTTAATTATTAGACATTAGCATTAACATCCATTTAGGTAGTTTTAGTGGCATAAATTGCAATTTTCTCATTTTCACTTTAGTGTAGAAATCTAGCATTCAGTTTTAGGTTTTTTTTTATTAGTAATTAAATACCTAAAACCAACTTAAGATAACCCCTAAATTGCTCTTTAAAAATAATAACCTAGGATTGGCCTATATTATATTAAGTCAATCTTAGTTTAATTGAATACTGACATGACTAAGGCATCATCAATGAGCTTGCTAGTTTTGAATGAGTTGATAAGGTAATTATACCTTAGTAATTTTTTTTTAGTTTCATGAGAAATAAACAAGGAACAATTTGGCAAATGCTTATCAGTAAATTTCATACATGTTAATGAAATTGGCAATGCTATAAAGGTAAATAGACTAAAATCATAGTTTGAGCAATATCTGAGGAAGTGGTTTAGGTAGAGAAGAAAAAAAAGAGCCCTGGAGTGAGATTGTTGGGTCTAGATAAGTTTCTTGTGCAATTACTGTGGCATTTTTGGGTCTAGAACTTTCTTCAATAATACCTTCTACTCTCTGTACAACGACGAAAGATATGAAACTTTTTAGTCATATACATAAAGTAACTGGATTTATTGGCAGAGCAGTGATTACCTTTTTCTCTGCTATGTTAGTGTCATCATTAGAACCCTGTTCTTTAAACTCTTTAACACTTTGTAGGAAATAGAAAATTAATTAAGTATTGTTTATAGCACCACGTGTTAAGCTTTATTTGAATATAAAGTAACTGAGCCATTAATAGAGCTATTATTCTACCAAGTTTGAGTCATCATTAGAACTTTGTTTTTCAAACTCTTCAATGCTATAAAGGAAAGATAAAATTAATAAGGTGTTTTTTATAACTGCAAGTGCTAAACTTTACTTGAGTGAAAAGCAATTGAAGCAGAGTTGCAATGACCTTTTGCTCTGTTATGTTTGTATCATCATCAGCACTATATTGTTCTTTGGGCTCTTCAACACTCTATAGGAAAGAGAAAATTAATAAGGTGTTGTTTTTATATAAAGCATCATGTAATTAAGCTTCACTCGAGTTCCCTAGAGAGTTACATTAGCTATAAATTCTCTATACTGTATACACACAAATATACTTGTGTCAAGTTTGGTGAAGCAACAGGATTTAATTCTTGCTCACTGTTCTCAACATCCATTCTCATTGTTCTCAACAACTGCCCACATTTCCACCAACCTAAACTTTCATAATCTATATGATTTATAAAGACATATTATATTAACTAACAATCGTATCAACAGCAATTCCTCCCAAATACACGCACATTATTAATTATGTAGTTTAAGTAATGAAATAATAAAAAATACAACTTAACACACGTTTCTCAAATAAAATTTTTGCGGACTGATTGAATTTAAGTAATCACATAGTTCAATTATTTTCATGTGGCTATCATCAAAACAAATTTATTTTTATTGATAATTAATGTTTGATGTGCTTTAATAATGAAAATATATTCTTACAAGCTATGATAATTAATTAGTAGTTACTAGTAATTAAAAAACCTGAATTATATGCTCTAACAATTGAGACTTCAATTTTAAATTAGGACAAAAAACCATACACAACAACGTGATGAGAAAAAAATAAGAACTTTTTAAATGTGGTCAAGTTGTAACTAGTAAAAGTGATGTGCTGTTTCCATATGCTTTTTTTTTGAATTTTTTTTTACTACTTGGATCCTTAATGCACAATAAATGATATACAAAATATTTTTCAAATAATTTTTCTTCTAAAAATTTCAGAACTTGAATTAAAAAAATTACCATATCCACAATAAAAGATACAGATATATAGACCACAACTTGTTGACAGCAAAAATTTTCTTTTTTAAAAAAATCATGATAATTGTATTAAAAAAACATTTCTTATATTCAAGTAGAAGTGAAGAGAGAAAAATATAAAAATTGGATCCAGACAAAAGCGTTTTCCCTCAACATCTTAATTTCAACCCTTCAATAAATATCCAATGTTCCATATTTTGACACATCATCCCACTTAGAAACAATTTTATTTTAAAAAATAATTCCTTTATTAAATTTAATTTTCTATTTTCAAAACTTGTTCTAAAAAATTATCCTACAAATTTTTACAAAGTGACTTGTTTAATAAAAATCTGTTTAAAAAAATCTACAAAGTAAGTCAGACTATAAGCAGGTACAATCTAACTTATTCAAACTTTGACATAATCTATTTAATGAAAATTTGTTTAAAATTTTTTAAAAGTAAGTTAGAATATAAGCAAGTATTTATCATGTATCTTATTCAAATTATGGCATAATCTATTTAATAAAAAATTATTTTAAAAAAGCTAAAGAGAAACTTTTTAGATCAAGTTGAAAGAATTATTTTTAAAATAAAATTATTTCTACATGGGATGATATGAAAAAGTATGAGACATTTGATATTTATTGAAGGGCTAAGATTGAAGTACTAAAAGATATTGAGGGAAAATGCTTCGGAGAGGATCTGGATCCATAAAAACTAAGCTAACTATTATATAAAGGACAAAAAAAAACCCCCCACTAAACTAACAACCCTATATTTCTCTACCATGAGCCTTGGAATACCCCTCATTTATGTTTATCGTAAATCGCCAAATCCTTCGTCTTATATTAGTTTTTTTTAATAAAATGACCAATATATATTTTTGAAATTAGAAAAATACATATATAAATTTAAAACATAATTAAATATATACTTTTCTTATATATGTGTGTGTGTATATACATATCACTGAAACACATTAAGATAAAAACTTGATATTGATGATGGAATGGAGGCAATAATCATAATGATAAGGGGAAAAAAAAAATATATATATATATATAACTGTCACACAAGCACAAATAATATTGAGTACCTGAATTATTTTCTAATATTTATAGTAAATTCAAAGGAGTTATGGTGGGAGTGAGAGCATTAGAGACTTGGGGACACTGATCTACAACAAGGTATCTCACACTTTGGAGATTATGAATGTTGAGGCTGTGTGCAGTGAGTTTTGGCAGTCAAAAAAGTATTGCAACCTTCAAGTTGGGAATGAGAGTTTCTTTTATAGGCATTGTCTCTGCTTCTTCATCTCCTAATACTCTCTCTAGCTCTGATACTTTAGATATCCACATTCCCCTTAGTTTGGGAAGCATACCACATGTTGGCATGGGAAATACATGTTTCAATTTTTGACAATCTTCTATGAAGATTATGGTGAGACTTGGAAAGATAGCAGGTTGTTAGGATTGAGCACATTTTGATTTTCTTTGACAATTGCCTCCAATTCCTTATAGGAATATATGGTAATGTCTTGGGAGCACATGATATGTAGAGATAGGGAATACACATTTCAACTTATCACAATTTCCAATTTCGATTGTGGTGAGATTTGGAAAGACAACAGGTTGGTGAGGATTTAACACACTTTGATTTTCTTCTTCATCATCTCCAATTATTTCTTCCAATTCCTTACATCCCTGAATACAAAGAAATCTCAACTGTGGTAGGCTTCTTATAATGCATGTAGGGAATATAACTCCCAAATTGTCACAATTTCAAATACGTAAATAATGAAGATGTTGAAGGAGTAAGAAATTTTTGGGACCCCTTGATATATCCCTCAACTTTGGTAGATATTCCAATCGAAGCCTTTGTAAGCTTGAGTTCACTTGTTGTGCATTGTTAGGAATCTCATCCGCATCGAAAATAACTTCTATTTTAGTATCATGCATATAAAGTGATTGTAATGTTTGCAGTGAGGACACAGCTACCTTCAACAAGTCCTATAAATAAAAAAAGAATATGAACCCATGAACTATATAGTAATGTTGAATAACAATCAGCATAATTAATTACATATATTCCACAACTATATAAAAGCAAGAAAGTAAGTATGCCATGTTGTCCTCTTTGCCACATGTACTTTACCAATCACTGTCTTCTTCATTTTTGATTGTGGGTGCCTTAAAATCTAATCAACATCAACATCCATAAATTAAATTCATTTCATTTAGGAGTCCGAATGGAAATTTTAATTAGAAATTAATATATTCTCCTTTATTACATGCACTATTGATGTTCTAATAGATTAAACATAGAGAACACGAATTTTTCTTCATTGAATTATAGCAAATGTTAAACTATATTCATAAACCAACAAATGTTTTACCATTTTTGAATATTTCAAATAATCATGTATAATTTTAAAAAAATAATACAATAAAATAAAATAAACAATATTATATTAAAAGACATCGTACCTCATATGCTATCTGATCATGCATTTGACTTAACCTGCATCCAACAATCCAATGATTCATGGACATGGAATTTAATTGATGGCATCTATCTAACATCATATCTTTCAAAGATGGGCATATTGGATCATAATTTTTGGACAAATGCTAATGATACTTGACAATGCTCATAGAGTTAGGTTTCTCAAAGATGAAAACTGGATGATTTGGAATTCATTTTGATTTGGATCTTCATAAATGGATGGGCCAAACATACTCTTTAATTTATGAGCATTCATTATTTATAGATCTTCCAATTTTGCAAGGCTTTGAGCACAAGAGATGGGCATTAAGTATTTTAGTTGACAGCACTTATGTATTGTTAGTCTTTTTAAATTTGGGAATGTAGATCTATAGCTCCTTTGATGTCTACTATCATATGCAACTATCTCCTCCCCTTCTTCTACTATTAAATGCTCAAGTGAATCACAATTCTCTATCTTTAGTACTTCTAATTTTGCAAAAAGGCTTAAAGGAAGATGACCACAACACAAGGAATTCAAATGTTTCATCCATTTTATAGTTAGATGAGTCAATCTGGAGATAATTCCAACTTCACCCAAATGATTTGCAAGATCTATCATGTATTCTATCTCCTCAAAGAAAAGGATTGAAAGTTTAGCCAAAGCATCCATATCTCCTCCTATTGTTTGAGACACATCAGGGAGTATATATTTACAACTTGTGATTCTTCCTATGGAGAGAACCTTTGCTCTTTGCATCACATCCTTAATTGTTGAATTTGACATACAAGTTTCAAAATCAACATGTAAACTTCTTGTAATAGGAAACTCTTGTCGTTTGAAAGTAGAGCTTCCAAATTCTATACAATAACTACCTAATTTTGGTGTAAATTTATTGAAGAAGTCACCAATATTCTTACCTTGATCTAGCCAAACTCCGTCATTTTCACAAAAATACAATTCTTCCAATTGAGAACACATTCCAATCACTTCATAAGGATTCTTTTGAATTTTACATCTCCAAATATCTAATAATCTCATGTTCTTCTGTTCTACAATGAATTTAGGCAATTCTTTAAAAGAACAATTCTCTAATGTAAGAGACTCGAGTCTATTAAGGCTTCTAATGAAAGAGATGTCTCCTAATGACCAATTTTGTAAGAATAGGCAACCAAGATTATATACCAAAGGGGCCAAATTCAAGCATTGCAAGATTTCTCGACTTTCACTCCACTACATATAACATTTACACTCAAGAATCAAAACTCGAAGCTTCTCCATGTGTTTGAGGAAAACATTTGATAGCTTCGAAGTAGGTTCTTTTCTAGTGAAAATAGAAAGAAACTCAAGTTTAGAACAATCCAACTTATAAGATAATCCCTCCATATCATCAAGCCATAAATATCTTACAATATCATCCTTCAAAATCATATCTTCTTTTAATGCTTTTTGCTTTGATTTGCTTTCTTCATTGATCAATCTAATCTCCTTCTTTGAAATTCGTAAGGCTACATCACGAACCAAATCATGCATTTTGACATGAGTGTTTTTTCCAACAACTTCTAGCAACAAACAAGAATTTATAAGCCTATTTTTGCCCCTACTGATCACTTTCTCTCTTGCTCTTTGATATGAGTCAACTTTTTCCACAAGACTAAGCCCTACTCCAAACACAGTTAATTGCTCAATTGGAATTTCATAATCTTCAGGAAATACAGAACATAACAAGAAGATTGACTTGGCTACTTCATTCTCTAGATTTTCATAGCTTAATTGAAGACATGAGTAAGGATTTCTTAATCCCTCATCATCAAAATCAAGAAAGATTGAATCTTTTAGTGTTCTCAATGCTTCCTCCCACTCATATTGAGGTTTTCCTTTCAAAGTGCTGGCTACAACAACAATAGCAACAGGTAAACCACCACATTCTTTGGTAATTTCTTGTGCCAATCTCTTCAAGGGAGTAGTAGTGTCATCATCAAATGTCCTTGAATACTTTTTAAAGAGCTCTCATGCTTCAACTTCATCTAATTCCTTCAATGGAATTGTTCTTTTGCAATTCATTTGTCTACATACTTGAAGTTTTCAAGTAGTTATAAGCACAGTGCAATAACTTTTTTCATTTTCTACAAGAGGAATCCCTATGGCCTCAAAATCAAGCTTTTTTCATACATCATCTAGAATAATCAGGAACCTTTCCCCACTCCCCAATCTCATGGATAATCGCTTGGCCCTCTCTTGTCCTTCTTTCTCTTTCAATTCAAAATTACCAAGTTGGCTTGCTATATTTTCTTGAATTTTTTTGACTTCAAAGGTATTAGACACAACAACAAAGACAACTTTTCTAAAAAACTATTCCGCTTCTTTCCCCACTTCTTTCACCAAGATCGTTTTCCCCACATCCCCCCATACCAGACAATCCAATCATGTTCACATGCTCATCTTTAAGTGCCTCCAAAAGTTCATCATATGCCCCCTGCCTACTCTTAAAGCGTACAAAACTTTCAGAAGAATAATAGCTCATGCCAACAAGTGATTCTAGTCGAGAAAATTCTGGGAATTCAATATTGCATTGCTCTTTAATTTCATTGATCTTCCCTTCAAGTTGTTTAGCTAGAGTGAAACGCTTAATCAAGTTAGGGCAATACTTAAAACAAGATGTCTTGTTTTTGTTCTTTATCTTTCTTCTACCTGCACCAGTTTTGCTACCAAAGAGTCCGCTTTACAAAGCCATTTCTCAACTTCTTTAACAACTTTCTTTGTCTGCTTCTTATCCTTCTTAGCTCGATCAAGAACATCTCTTATTTTGGATTGCAACTTTGTTTTTGCTATTTCAAGCTCTTTGACATACTTGTTGAAGCAGCAAGAATAAGAAGCTTCATGTATTGTTGCATCCACTAACTTGCTCAAAATACCATTTACAACAGTGACAATGATCTCCATGTCCTCTAAAAGTGCAATAATGTTGCTATAATTTATGAGATAATATAATCATAATTTTGAATGCTATAAAAGTAATTATTTGATATTAGATGGAGATAAAATGATAACTAAGGACTCATATTATCAATACTTAAAGAATTTGAAAATCAAATTCATCTCACGATTAAAAAAAAAAATCTTTGGTGACAATAGAAATAACTTCATTGCAAACAAAAAATAAAAAAAAAAGAAGTGAAAAAAAGGAACATTTCTAAAGTCACCTGGAGAATTTTATGTTGTAAATTAAGAGAGTATTTGATAACTTAAAAAATCAATATATAGCAATTTAGTTATATAATTTATAAAAAAAATTTAATTCTTAATCCTTTGCAGTCAGTTCTAAACTTGGGAGTCTTTAGACTTCTTCAATTATTTTTTCTGTAATTTAGCACTTTTTAATCAAAAAAGGAAATGTTAAAAAAATGCAAATAGATTAAATTCAATATTTTTTTAAAAATAATATTGAGATAAATGCTTTAAAATTTTACTCAGAATATCTTCTTAAATATTTTGTTCAAAAATATAAATAGAAAATTTAGTAAGAAAATAGATAATTCGAAGCAGGTCTGATATAATTGATAATTGAGAAAAAGGCATGTTGCTGCACACACAAGAGCACAAACTTTTCAAGCGGAGAGAAGGATAGAAGTCATAACATATTGCTGCTTCCACAACTTGCTAACAATCTAGAACCCATAATTCTCCATTAAAAGCAATTCAACCAACGATAAGAAAATAAAAGAATATTAATAAAATAAATAAATATTTTATTTTTAATTAAAAATAATATGACCTAACTTTAGATTAAAAAATTAAAAGGATTCGACCTAATTAAATATAGCAAAAAATATTTTGAAATAAAATTGATTTTGATTTATCAATGGATATTAATAAATATATTTTAATTGAAAATAAAACATGAAGATGATCGAAAATCTAAGCCATCTAAATTAACTCTAAAGTATTCAAATATAATTGAAACATCTATCGGTTCATCCTTGAAATTAATGAAGAATCTAGATTAAAAGATGATAAGACATTTTTCTTCTTTATACCAAAAAAGTATCAATGGATATTATGTGGAAATATTAGGAATGTATTATAATAAAAATATATGCAAATTACCCTGCCCATAAACTTTTAAAAAATTTCTCGGTTGAGAAAATAGTTTATTATTTTAGAAAAATAACGGATAGTTAATTGATGATGGGAAGTTGTTTGCATAAATGAAAAAAATTAAAGAATTATCAAAAAGTTCTAAAGGTAATGGAAGTTATTTGTACATATCAAACTTTTAAGGATCATGTCCATGTAAAGCAACTCAACCTGTGCATATGAGAAAATTACAATTCGTTGACCGAAGGGAGAAAAAAAAAACAGAGAGAAAATTATAATTCAAATACGGATAAAAATGAACATTTAGTATGATGAAATAAAAACAATATTGTAACTATCACTATTATAAAGAAATATTTTAATTTAAAATTAAAAATAATGAGAATTTAACATATAAACCATCTAAATTAACTCAACTATTAAAATTTATTTTAAACATCACCATATTGGTTCATCCTTGAACTTAATAAGGAATCTAGACTTAAAAGGTGAAAGCCATTTTTCTTATTTATAACAAGCAGCAAAAAAATCATCCATGCATATTAAGCAGAAAATTAGGAATGAGAGATAATAAAGAATATGCAAATGATGACACTGCCCATAAACTTTTTATCGTACAAGGAAAAAATCGATTACTTATAAAAAAAAATGTTACATGAAAATAAATGATGTAAAAATTTGAGTTTCAAACAATTATTAAACATAACATAAAAATATTAATAGCAAACAAAAAGGTTGATTCCACAAATTTTTGAGTTAATTTGGGACATTTTGAATATTTTGTGCAATTTAAGGGTGTAAGTAATAAATTTTTTAAAAAACATTTATATTTTATTTTCAATTAATTATCTAAAAAAATATACTAACCTTCTTAGTATATCTAGCCTCCTTAAAAATTATATCCTTAAGCCAAAATTATCAATAATAGGGTAAAAAAATGAAAAATTAGAAAATATCAATCAAATTAAATAATTAATCATAGTAAAATGAGAAAATATTTATCGCTAAATGAATGGTGAAAAACAAGAAGAAAAAAAAATAGAGGTAATGTTGACCCTACACATGCCATGACCATTCTATATTTAAAATCCTTCTGAGTTCAAAACATGCCAAGTATCATGTTAAAATGTTCTATTTGTGGTTCAAAATTATATATGTAATTGTATAAGAACAACTGTGAACACCAAGGGGGAAAAAAGAATAGACTTTGAACACTATTAAAGATAAAGAAACATGGATAAAAGCATATCCAACAAAAGTTGATTAAAAGGAAAAAAAAAAAAACATGTATACTAAATAAAAATAATTATAGGTTGAAGTTTATGGGATTGGAGCTAATAAAGAACATAACAACAAGATCAAAAGCTAACATGTCTTCAGCTTTCTTGTGATCCAAATTAAGCAATCTATGTGCATGGAACAACAGACAAAGAAGGCCAATTTCAGTTATGTCTTGCAATTTGAGAGATTCACAAATTGAAGTCTCTATTTCAATAAGAAAGAGTATTCAAAACATAGCATACTATGTTTTGTGCTTTAAGCTTTCTACATATAGATTCAGAATACACAACTAGTCTTATGATTTTGAACGGAAAATGTGAGGTCTTAAATTTCTAAAATGATAAGTAAATATAAAAACGATTTTTTTAAGTCACAAAAGAAATGGAGGGAATATTTTTTTATAAAAAAGAAGGCTAAAATATACAAAACCTCCATAAACTTTAAAGCAGTTGCACAAAATCCTTTCATCTTTAAAAGTTTAAAATTAATCTTCTTATCCTTTTATTTTTTATTTTTTTACCACATATTTTCCTACTATTATTTCTTAATTATCTTACTAACAAAGTTATCATGTCATCTAAAAAAAAGACACGTAGTTGCTTATGTATCCAATGTAAGTTAATAATAAAGTTCTATAAAAATTTTATCCATATTTTTCTATCATTATAACATTTAAATTTCCTTTTTAATTAATTTTCTAAACACTAGGCATTTCCTTCCAAAGAATGATCTAAAAAAACATAGCAACAACAGATCCAATTTTTGGATGAAGTACTTGAATCTAGGATTTTCAATTGAATATGCATCATGAAATAAATTATTGAAATTAAATGTGGGGAGTTTAAATTTTTAAGATAATATTTTTGCTGTAAAAAGTGTAAAGTAAAAATAATATGTTAACTATATGAACTTAAAAACTATTTTAAAAAGTTAAAAGGATAAAATCTTAAGCATCTAATAAATCAAATTTAGATAAAGCCTTAATTTTATAATTTACTCAATTGAGGAGATCCAAATAAATGGAAATAGTATTCTGACAATTAGTCATTAGTTACCACCTCTTAACAATGAAATCTATGAAATCAAGTTACCTTTTGTACCTACGTGCGTGTGAAATTAATACATATTTATTATAAACATAAAATAAATTATGGAAAATTAAATGTATGCCAACTATGCATTAACTTAAGTGTATCAATAATCTCCCTGGTTTTTAAAATTTCACAAAAAATCCTCCTATGCTACGAAAGTATATCTTTATATAATTTGACAAAACTTTAAAAATCTATAAGACTTTGGAGGGATTTATTAATTATTTACTCTCCAGACCACGAAAATAATTAATCTCTTAAATATCTGAACAAATGATACTCCTAATCTTATTAAAAAAAACAAAAGAAATAACTTTCTTGTAAAAAATATATATTTTCATAAGGTCACATGATGAATACTTTGTTGTAACTTATAATTCAACTAATTTTTTCTTTATTGAGAAAAATAAAACATTAAAAAGAAAGAAAAATAAGAAAATCTCAATCATCAATAAAAGTTTAGTCTAGTTAATAAGAATTAAGCACATAACGTGACAGGTCATGAAATCAAATCCAACTACAAATACGGATAAGAACTTCTCTAAAACTCTATGCTGCAAATTCTTAAGAAACATATTGCACGATGATGCTGAAAAGGTATCAGGAACTGAGAAACAGGACAACACCACCAAACAGAAGCTAACCTGGTACAGGTGGTCTTCTTCAAAACAAACACAAGCTTACCTTTGGTTTATGAGAAACTCGATGAATTTCTCCAATTAGGCTTTCGGCAGAGAAGCTGCAGAAGAACTTAGTAATCTCTCCCATCTTCAGAGAAAAATAGATATATCTCGGACCTTTTTTAAAGGCCAAATATATATAAATATGTATATATATCACAGACTTTAATTAGCTGTGATCATGTTTGACGTACAGTTATTGCATCCAAAGGAAAACAATATATATGGAGTATTTTAAGATGTAATTAATGAATTAAGAATAAAGAAAATAAAATTATTGTGGACTTATAAATTATACTTACTCCATTCAAAAATTATTGTAATATATATGGAGTATTTTAAGATATAATTAATGTATTAAGAATAAAGAAAATAAATCCATTATTGTTTATATTGCATGGAATTTATATTTATATTGATAATAATTTTTATACAATTATAATATTTCAAAGGCCACATGATAATTTCATGAAAACAAATATAAACGAAAATAAAGTTTGAGATTTATTAAAAACAATTCCTTTTTATGATTATTTATTCATAGGATTTCACATTCTCATCATATGAATGCATCCTATTTTTTAACTAAATATATATACATATAAGTTTAAATGAGTTGGGTTTCGACAATTTATTAAGATCATGACAGGTTATATTTTTAAATTTAAAAAACAGTTATAAAAATATTTAAAAATCACAAACCCTTAAAATTCTCATATCAGCAATACTATTTGAACTTAAGAGCTTGTAAATTATGAATTAAAATCCTTACTAATGAGATCAAATCTATACTTTATTCAAATTACATTCTTATCACATGTCATATTTTCACTTAGTAATCATTTTCCCCCCAGTTACTTTTCCAGCCTCATTTCAATAATGCAAATGGTGGGATCGGGGAAATTGCACAGTACTTTTTACTTTTCAG